AAGGTCCCTGCTGTTCTGAAGCTTGCATTCGGGGGTGGGCGTGGGGGAGGATATAAAGATCAAGAAAAACAAGCAAATTTCTTAGTGACATGCTATGAAGAAAGTAAACAAGGGAGTGGGGAGGTGATGCCTGGGGCTGAGGAACATAACCACAGACAGGTGGGGAAGGAAGGATACTCTGAGGACTTCCGAGCTGAGGTCAAAATGATAGGAAGACAATTCCCATCAGAGGAAACAAGAAGTGCACAGGGCAGTGGGACGGTCAGCAAGGGCAGGGTGGCAGAGCTGATGCTGAGAGATACAGGCAGGGCTGGGGCAGAGTGGAAGGGGCCTGGGAAGTGGTAGGAAGGAGTCTGGACTTTGTTGTAAGTGAGATGCAAAGCCCCTTTAATGAAGAAAATTATTTTTTAAAGACAAATATCAGAACAGAATAATAAAAGGTAACTTGTGAATATTCACATTCAATACAATTTATTTACACAGGTTTTTTACTTACATTGTTGTTTTAGGTGTTATCTAAAGAAAAAAACCAATCTGTATATATTTGTGTGTGTATGTGTATAGTCACTAACGTTGAAATAAAAAAAAGGAAATAAAATACATTAAAGGAAAAAGATAATTTAGTCAGTAAAATGTTTTCTAGAAAGATGCTAGAAATCATTTATTATTCCAAGAAAAAAATCCTCCATTGTGCCTATATATAAATATACCTAAGAGCTCTCCAATGGTGTAAGACAGTATTTTATGAAATTATTAAAAAAATCAGTATTACCTGTCAAGTACTATCTCTTGCATGTGCAAACAAAACTGCTAAGGTTATCTGAACAAGAAATCCCTGGTGTCTATTACAGAGAGCTTTTAAAAGAACTTGCCTTGACAATTTATTCCTAAATTTTCTTTTTTCCCCTTAGCTCAATACTATATTGCTACTTAATTTCATGACTGCACAAAACTGTTTTAGACACTACTTGGGGAATAAGTATTAAGAGTTCAAGGAAATGCAAATGATGTTTTTGCTACCTTTTCTCAAAAGATTTCACATTAGAAGACAGACTATAATATTAAATTGTATTATGTGTATATAGATTCTGCAGTTATATGTAACTCAGTATCTTTTGCAGGTACATAAGGTAAATGGTCTTAGTCTTTTTTTTGTTTATTTTTTATAGTGCTGCTATGAACATAGGGGTGCATGTACCTTTTTTGTTTTCAACAGATCTTTACTGGAGTATAATTGCTTCACTATACTGTGTTAGTTTCTGTTGCACAAGGCTAATCAGCCATATGCATACACATGTTCCCATACCCCCTCCCTTTTAAGCCTCCCTCCCACCCTCCCTATCCCACCCCTCTAGGTCATCACAAAGCACTGAGCTGATCTCTCTGTGCTATGCTGCTGCTTCCCACCAGCCAACTATTTTACACTGGGTAGTGCATATATGTCGATGCTACTCTCACTTCACCCCAGCTTCACCCTCCCACCCCATGTCCTCAAGTCCATTTTCTATGTCTACCTCCTTATTCCTGCCCTGCAACTACGTTCATCAGTACCTTTTTTTTTTTAGATTCCATATATATATATGCTTTTAATAGAACTGTTAGCATATGGTATTTGTTTTCCTCTTTCTGACTCACTTCACTCGGTATGACAGACTCTAGGTCCATCCACCTCACTACAAGTAACTCAATTTCGTTTCTTTTTATGGCTGAGTAATATTCCATTGTATATACGTGCCACATCTTCTTTATCCATTCATCCAATGATGGACACTTAGGTTACTTCCATGTCCTGGCTATTGTAAATAGTGCTGTAGTGAACATTGTGGTACATGTCTCTTTTTGAATTACGGTTTTCTCAGGGTATATGCCCAGTAGTGGGATTGCTGGGTCATATGGTAGTTCTATTTTTAGTTTTTTAAGGAAGCTCCATACTGTAATTTTTATCAGAGTATAGTAGATTTACAGTGTTGTGTTAGTTTCTGCTGTACAGCAAAGTGAATCAGTTATATATATGCATATATCCACTCTTTTTTAGATTCTTTTCCCAGTCCTAGTGTCATTAGTCAGGCTTAAAACTAGTATTTGCCTCATAACCCTCTATTAGGGACTGACTAACTAGCAATGCTGAAAAATCAAGATATTATGAAATGTTCTGTTTGTTAGTGCCATGAAGTTTACTACATTTGTCCCCCCTGTTCTCCAACTTGAGGGGAAACATGACTGAAGACTTGAGATAAACTTACTTACTGTAAAAACCAAATGCAGTTGGATGATCATCTCCCCACCTGCTATCCACAAACCCACCCTTGAGTCCTGACAGTCCAGTTCTAGATCACTTTAAATAAGCTTCTTCCATTAGCAGCCCCTTATTTTTTTCCCAATTAAAATGATTAATTGGAGGTGGGGAGCATTAGGTGGCCCTCTCTGCCCTGAGAGAGATGCTGGCTTCCTACCCGCTGGGGTGAAAACTATAAACAAGGAAGGAAGCTTCATCTGATGAAGTGTTTACTGTTGTGGCCAGAGCTGTGTCCTGCGGCCCATTACGGTTCAATTCAGCTTTTCAATCTCCTCCAGTGAAAATTCTCTGCCTGGAATAACCTGCTCCTTGGACAGGCTTTTGCCACCCTGAACCTGGTGTCAGAGAAGGGGCTTCTGGGCCTTGCCTAGGCTTTACAAACGCTGCGATGAAGTCCCAGGGCCTCCAGCTAACTGGGTGCCATGTTGCCAAGAGCGGGTACGAACCTCTCACCTGTGAAAAACGTTTTCCGGTAAAGAGGATAATGTCAGGGAGTGTAGGCTCAACAGCTGGACTGCTTGCATCTCAGTCCTTTGCTCCCCACTGATGAGGTGAGTGACCTTGGCCAAGCGGCCCCACCTCTCTGAGCCAAAGGACTTAAAACAGTACTTAGCACCTAACAAACATTCGAAACCATAGCACTTATGATCATGGTGTGTTTTATTGTTTATCCCAGTATAAGGCACTTTAAAAAAAATGTCTTTTTTTTTTTTTTTTTTTAAGAAAAAGGACTCATAAGTGAACGCATTGGTAATTATTATCAGAATGATACACTATCATTTCCTAACTGCTTTCTGAACCTATCACCTTTGGGGAATACTGCTGTTTGGTTACTTTAAAAATGGTGAGAATTTCATAGAATTCCCTATTCGTAGCATATTCTTGCTGTGTTTTGAATCAACTATCTTCCTTGTTAGGTTTTTGGAGAAGGAGATTTAGAAGTTTCATTTCGATTAATTTTAATTATTCCCATATCCTTCCCCAAACCCAAGTGCCACAGTCTAGAGCATTTTGCACAGGTGACGTGACAAAGAGAGCTCCAGTCCGTGGTGATTAAACTCTCCCCGTTTCTCCCAGGAGACCCACATCCGCACTGATGGTCCTGGTTCACGTTGCTCATGTCCGATTCTGAAGTTACCACATCCCAGGCCTCAAACGCATGGCTTATTCGTTATGCCTCTTACTGAATTCCCCTTCTTGATCTCTTCTATCCCCATCTGTTGTAAAGAAAGACGAATGCGAAGCAAGAATGCAGCAGAACTCTAAAACAGGAGCATTCTAATTTTGAAAATTTTTAATTTCTTGCCACATAACAATGAGCTATGGTGTGTCACCGATCTGTAGTAAAATTAACTTCTTGTCTTTTGTTCCTTATGAATTTATATATCCAGTTATCTTTCTATTTAATTTCACATGGTTTTGCTACACTGACTGAAGCTTTTTAACATGAAGGTCTTTTAATTTAATGGACTTTGCAGTTCATTTGCAACCAGTTTTTTGTTTTTTTGTTTTGTTTTGTTAGGATGACTGAATGCTACTGCATAACACTGTGAAGTTTTCCTGGCAGGATGGCGAGTACCCAGGCTCCCTGTCCACCAGGATGACTGCTGGAAAAGGCGACATGGATAAAATTACGCAGTGGTCAGGAGCCGCAGAGAAGCAGCAGCAAGGTAGATTAAACAAAGACAATGCTGATTTTAACCCATCCACGCTCCTTGGTCAAGGGATCCTGCATCAGCACATCTAATCAAAATTGGTGCCAATTTAGATAACATGGCTGAAAGCACTGTTTTTGCCCCACAGGAATTTCTGCTTGGTTTCTGAAGAACTCTGCATCAATTCCCATGTTTTCTGTCAAAGTAGACAGAGCCAAGAGTCTCATAAACGGAGGATGATTCCGATCACACGAGAACATCCACCTGCGGAGGGAGTTACTGCAGCAGTGAATGCGAACGTGAGTGAATCAGACGTGCCGCCCATGACTGCAGAGGCGGCCTTTTAGGGCTTCGGTTCTAGTCTCCGGGATGAGGTTTTTGAATATGGACGATTTACGTGCAAAGGTGACTTTTCTAGCCGCCATGAAGGTAAACTCGAGCTTTGACTTGTATCCGCTTCATCATCGGCCATAACAGATGTCCCAGACTTTAATAGTAAATGTCGGCTACTCAGCTCCTCAGCCAGATGAGTTTTTGGCTCTGGTAACGGAACACAATTATTTGTTTTGTTAGGAAGGAAAGGAGATGATCTTCGTTTTGCCTAGCATTTTGGGAGTTGTGACCACGGTTTACTATAATCAGATGAATTTTGTTCAAAGAATCATCAGAGATCACACTTGGATATCAGGGTGTGACTGAGATCGATAAGTTGACATTTACCATATGATGCCAGAAAACCATCTAATTCAGAGCAGAGTTGAGAGACACATCATTAGGAGAACTTATTCAATCACCCATGCAGAGAGATTCTAATAATATCATTTATTCTTTCATTCCCAGGCTCCTCCCCTCTCTTTGCATAGGGAGGGCAGTTTTATTTTAAATATCATTTATGACAGGACCTAGCTCTCTGATTGAAGCAAAAGGACATAAATTCACAAATCTGCCTGGTACACTTTTTTATTTCAATATGGGGTTGTGTGCAGCTGCTGTTTCTTCCAAAATGAAAAAATAGTAGAAGTGAAAACTGAATAAATCATAATCGGCAATCATTTTTTCTTCAACAAATCCATCAGATCGTCTTCTATTCCCTTCTCACTCAGGTCATCTAAACTGTAGTATCGATGGACGATTTTCTCAGCGGTGACCACCACGACTCGGAGCCCATGGGTGTCTTTGCCCAGCTGGCATCCGATGGCAGATGATACCACCATGTCGAGGTCCTTGTAGGTGCCCCCGGCATTTCTGTGGTAGTGGCCTGAGAACACAGCTTTGATACCTGCAGGGAAGGGAAAAAACATTAGGGGACCAAGGATTTCCATTTAGGTAACTTGGGGGCTCCAGTGGTTTCTTCTGTGAACAATACATATTATTATAGTAAATGCATAATATTATTCAGCATATGATAAATAAGAAGGCAGCATATGTGACATCCAGAATCTTTTCAAGGATAATTCATATATATATAATACATTATTAACCTGTTTCTTGTAACTCATACAGGAAAGTACTAGGGGACAAGAAGAGAAGGGAGAAAAGGTGAATGACTTTGGGAGAGATGAAGGAAATATTTTGAGGCCTATATAACAGCCATAGAGTAGAAGGTACATGTCTATGAAAAATAATGTTTATCAGAAACATAGATCAATGGAACAGGATAGAAAGCCCAGAGATAAACCCACACACATATGGTCACCTTATCTTTGATAAAGGAGGCAAGAATATACAATGGAGAAAAGACAGCCTCTTCAATAAGTGGTGCTGGGAAAACTGGACATGTAAAAGAATGTAAAAGAATGAAATTAGAACACTCCCTAACACCACACACAAAAATAAACTCAAAATGGATTAAAGACCTAAATGTAAGGCCGGACACTATCAAACTCTTAGAGGAAAACATAGGCAGAACACTCTATGACATAAATCACAGCAAGATCCTTTTTGACCCACCTCCTAGAGAAATGGGAATACAAACAAAAATAAACAAATGGGACCTAATGAAACTTAAAAGCGTTTTGCACAGCAAAGGAAACCATAAGCAAGACAAAAAGACAACCCTGAGAATGGGAGAAAATATTTGCAAACGAAGCAACTGACAAAGGATTAATCTCCAAAATATACAAGCAGCTCAATATCAAAACAACAAACAACCCAATCCAAAAATGGGCAGAAGACCTAAATACACATTTCTCCAAAGAAGATATACAGATTGCCAACAAACACATGAAAGGATGCTCAATATCACTAATCATTAGCGAAATGCAAATCAAAGCTACAATGAGGTATCACCTCACACCAGTCAGAACGGTCATCATCAAAAAGTCTACAAATAATAAATGCTGGAGGGGGTGTGGAGAAAAGGGAACCCTCTTGCACTGTTGGTGGGAATGTAAACTGATACAGTCGCTATGGAGAACAGTATGGAGGTTCCTTAAAAGACTAAAAATAGAACTACCATATGATCCAGCAATCCCACTGCTGGGCATATACCTGGAGAAAACCATAATTCAAAAAGAGTCATGTATCATAATGTTCATTGCAGCTCTATTTACAATAGTCAGGGCATGGAAGCAAACTAAGTGTCCATTGACAGATGAATGGATAAAAGAAGATGTGGCACATATATACAATGGAATATTACTCAGCCATAAAAAGAAATGAAATTGAGTTATTTGTAGTGAGGCGGATGGACCTAGAGTCTGTCATACAGAGGGAAGTTAAGTCAGAAAGAGAAAAACAAATACCGTATGCTAACACATATATATGGAATCTAAAAAAAAAAAGGTTCTGAAGAACCTAGGGGCAGGACAGGAATAAAGACACAGAGATAGAGAATGGACTTGAGGACACTAGAGAATGGACTTGAGGATATGGGGAGGGGGAAGGGTAAGCTGTGACAAAGTGAGAGAGTGGCATGGACATATATACACTACCAAACGTAAAATAGATAGCTAGTGGGAAGCAGCCGCATAGCACAGGGAGATCAGCTCGGTGCTTTGTGTCCACCTAGAGGGGTGGGATAGGGAGGGTGGGAGGGAGGGAGACGCAAGAGGGAGGAGATATGGGAACATATGTATACGTATAGCTGATTCACTCTGATACAGCAGAAACTAACACACCATTGTGAAGCAATTATACTCCAATAAAGATGTTAAAAAAAATTAAAAAAATAAAGGAATAGCTGGATGGAGGGAGAAAAAGGTTTGAAATAGGAGAAGGGATAAGGAGGTGGACTTGTCCCTCTCTTTTAAACAGATACTTTTTACTCATTAATTCCTGCATATTTCTCAGGAATCTCTGAGTCCAGGAGCCAAAGATAGGGCCAGTGAAATAACAAAACGTGAAGACATGTATGCAGCAAGGAGAAGGTACATGTTCCACACCATGAGAGAACAAGCTATTTACAAGCACTCCTTCAAATCTCTATAATTGACACCCAATTCAAATACCCACTGTTATTCATTGTTCATAGGATACAGCTTTATTTTGGAAGCTGCAGTGTTCTCATTGTGAAAATGGAGATGGGATTTAATAGGTAACATCTTCTCTGTTTTAAATGTCCTTCTGGTATTTTGCATGTGTAAAGCTGTTCTTACCCCCAGCCAGGAGTCCTGACTCTAGGAAAAGCTGTTTTAACTTATCACTGGTTGCTTAGTGTGGCAGAGATCAGCCACCCAGGACTGGATTTGCTGGTTAGCCAATAGGCATCTAAAGGACTTTTGGTGTATCTTATTCATCTTAGGACGTGGAAAGTACACCTCAAAGAATTTTTAAAAGCGTAAATCATATATTATGGTATATGTAATCATTTGTTGTCTAGCATCAAGATTACTGGACAGCTATATTAAAATCTTTTTGAAAAAAAATAATAATGTTTATGGAGTTCTAAACAAGACAGCACAGCATGGTCAACATTTAATGTACCTCCTCCTCTCCAAACTTAGACCTATGATGGATAAAATATTTAAAAAAACCCCAAAGGACAGAGATAGCTTCAATACCAAAATAAATAGCTCTATGGACCAGAAAGGAAGCAGGAAGGCAGAGTAATGAGTGGGAGTTGAGCTCTTACAAGATAATCAAGATTGAAAGCACTTTCTCTGAGATGAGGCAATAAAGGCTGGCTCCTGGCTGGAAACAGGGGTGGTGTTAATACCTCCGTTTATGGAAGGAGACTGAAGGAAACCACCGCTGCCCTGTTCCAGGGTGGTGGTAGGCTGGTACACCCTGGTACAAGCACTCCAGAAAAAAAAAAAAGGACCTGATTTGTAATGTTTACTCATTTCCATGGAGTTAACATTCTCACGATGGCCGATTTCAAATGACCAACGTGATGTCACTGAACCAGAGTGGCCAAGAGATGCCCAGGAGCAAACCCACCACCACGGAGTGTTCCCAACACACATACGAGAGCTGTACGCAGCCAAAGAGCAGGGGTGAGAATAATACGGAGCAAGATAATTAGAAAATGGTTAAGTGTCGAGTATGAGTATTTATTACCTTTGCTTCTTAATATAATTTACTTAATGATGAGTTTGTATAATTAAATTCTAACAATGGCTGTTTAACAACCAACTCACACAATTCTCTAACATTTAATCATTGGTTTTCATGTGTTGGCAGGAGCTGTCTCCAGCACAGCACTGGGTGAAGGCTTGCAGCAACCCACGGGTCTAGGGAGGAAGGACAGACACAGGTTCAAGTCAAGGAACGGAAACACGGCTTCGCAGGATGACTGGGGGGCCGGGACTCTACAGCACTATCGTAAGGCCGGGTCCCCGATGGGGGCGAAACCCCTGCACAGGGAGAAGTCGGTCAAGAGGAAAAGTGAGGGGAAAACCACCGCCTCCCCCGCTGCAAATACCTCTTACCCAAACTGAACCTGAAATAAAAAATTCCACCATCTGTGAAAATTTCACGCTAAGTAAGACAGTCTTCAAACTCTTCAATCGGGAATATGAACTCACTTCAGGGGAAATCAATGATATAAACTGTCTGAGAAATACTTAAAATAAATGTTTAGGATATCAAATGTACTCAATAAAGGACAAATATCCATTAAAAAGAACAAGATGTTGTGAAACAAAACGGGCATGAATTGAGTGAGAAGGGTTGGTAATGGAAATTTAGAAATGGTGGACATAAAACATATGAATTAAAATTTTAAAACAAAACCCTCAATAAATGGGATAAATTCTAGACTAGACACGAGTCAAACAGGGAATTAGTGAATGAAAAGGTAGAAATGTGGAGCTGAATCAGAAAACAACACAGACACCCAGACATAAGCAATGAGAAGTTCAAAGAACCCAAAGGATGGGTTATTTGGAATTTTCCAGAAGGGAGGAACATATGGGTCTTCAAATGAAAAGTACTAAGTAGGATAAATAAAAATCAATTCATACTGACATATGCCATGGTAAAATTATGGAGCATCAGAAAGAAAAGTCTTAAAAAGATATCATGGTGGGACTTCCCTGGTGGTGCAGTGGTTAAGAATCTGCCTGCCAATGCAGGGGACACGGGTTCGAGCCCTGGTCCGGGAGGATCCCACATGCCACGGAGCAGCTGGGCCCGTGAGCCACAGCTGCTGAGCCTGTGCTACAGAGCCCACGAGCCACAGCTGCTGAGCACGTGTGCCACAACTGCTGAGGCCCGTGCCCCTAGAGCCCCTGCTCCACAGCAGAAGCCACGGCAATGAGAAGCACACGCACTGCAACAAAGACCCAACACAGCCAAAAAAAAAAAAAAAAGATATCATGGCAAAAGTACTATAAAGGAATGACAATTAGACAGGTAGCAGGCATCTCAGCCATAAAAGAATCAGGGAGTAATACCTTCAAAATGCTGAAGGCAAGTACTTGTGAACCTCAAATTTTGTACCTATAGCTAAACCATCATTCAAGTTTAAGGGCAAAACAGATACATGTTTGGACATATAAAGACTAAGAGTTTACCACTTCTCAAAACATTATGCCAAGTTAAAGAAGTCAGATGCAGAAGGCCACATACTGTATGACTCCATTTATAAGAAATGTCCCGAATGGGCAAATCCATAGCAAAAGAAAGTATATAGTGGTTGCTGGGTGAAGAGGGGAAAGAGGGAGTGGAAATGGCTGCTAATGTGCACAGGGTTTCTTTGCAGAATGGCAAAAATGGTCTGGAATTAGACAGTGGCAATGAATATATTAAAGCCACTGAATTTTGGAGTAAATTGTACGGTATGTGAATTATACAGCTCAATAAAAAAAGGTTGTTTTTTTTTAAAACCCGTATGGG